AAAAAAAAAAAAAAAAAAGAAAAAAAAAAAGGAATAATTTAGGCTTAAAATCGACTAAAAGGAAGCATATCTTCGAGAACTACCATAGCATCCTTCTTAGCAAACTTTTCACAGCAAGTTGCCGTTTTTGTTGCACCTATTGCAGATCCGTTGTTAAATTTGCTCTGTAGAAAAGATACGCGTCAACAGTATTGAAGTTATGTTAACGTCAAGAAACACCCAGTCGTGTAGGCAGCTGTAGAATACCTTCAATTTCATTGATCTGCTGTTTTAATGATTCAATACTTCGTTTGTAATCACTAATCCAGGCAGAATTTTCATTAATTTCTAGCTTAATTCTTTCTGCTGAATCCGAAGTTACAGCCGCAGCTTGCTGTAATTTTTCAGTTAACGAAATATTATCCAATTCTTTTCGTCGCTTTTTTCGTTCTGCTTCCTCTAATTTTGCTCTTAACCTCAAAAGTTTTAACTGTTCTCTCCTTCTCGTTCGCTTTAGTTCCTCTCTTTCCAGTCGACTTCGTACGCGCTTTTTGAATGAACTAAAAGGGTGGTAGAAATTTTTTGCTAATCACTTTTGAAAAGCCTTATTCTTTTAAGATTTTAAAGTAGTAATGGCAACATTTTCGCTTTTTTTCTTGTTAAACTTGATTAGAATTAGTTGATAAGCAAACAAAAAAAGGAAAACAGAAATGACGATGGCTGTTTACTTCCTGACAATATTTCTGCTTTCAAGCTGTTTCACAACAAGGTTGCCCCCGGATTTGGTTGCGTTCAACGCTCGTAACATCGCTTGTAAAGATGCATTCAAAGGTTGAAGTTCCGAAACTGATTTACCGTCACCGTGGTCCTCAACTAAATGATATCTTGCACACTATTGTAATCGTAAATAATGAAACTGTAGCAGTCAGACAGCCAAAAAATTTTTTTGATCAACAGCAGCTGGATAAAGGTGTAAAAATACTGCTGTAATTAGAATAACTACTTTTTAAAGGGTTTAAGTGTTAGATGCTGATCTTTGAAACCTTTTTGCAGGTTCTGCCACTTACCATAACGGATTGGCCTTGAATGTCCGCCACTTTGTCGTCGAAGTTTCGCGATGTTTTCAAAGACTTCATTTGGCTTATCGCCGTCATATTTAACAAACATAAAATGTGTACTTTTTTTCTTTTTTCTAGCCCGATTACCTAAAAATGGCAGAGTGTAACTTATAAAGTTGTTTAGAAGCAGTTACTTAAAAACTATTGATTATTAATAGGATTAGTTGGCATATAAATCTTTTAGTTTTACTTTCTATGATACATCAACAACTGCAGAATCTTTTCTTTAACTTTCTGTTTTGTTTTATCTTAGAAATTTCTTATAACAGTGTAAAAATATATTGATCAAGAGAACTGAAAAGTTTAATTTTGTACTGACAGATAAATATCGCTAAAAAACTTAGTAAAACTTAATTATATTCTCAAAAATTGCAAATTTCTCTTTCGTTTTTTTTTGGTCGGTAAAATAATTTGAAATGTTCAAACAATGTTTAAAACAGGCAATAAAAACAAACCTCTTTTTGGTCGCCCATTTTGCTTTAAAGCAACATACCATGGCTTATGCTTGGAGCCGTAAGAGCATGACGAATATAAATTGAACAAATTTTCCAACATTTCTTCTTTGAAAATACATTCAGCAGAAAATTGGTTCCGCATCTAAAGATTGACCAATCGTTACAATATTATGTCCAAAAAAAAGACTATCTAATTCCGAAATGTTAATCAGATTTGTATTTTTACCAGAAAGATAAAAGTTACAGCCAAAAAAATAGCATTTGTTAAATAGTTTGTTAGTCTGCATCAGTTTTAATTCAGAAATTTCTCACTCAAACCTTTTTCTTCCTCCCCAAAAAGGTTATAATTGGCAGCCTACTTATTTGCTATTTCGTTTAGCCTAATATAATTGAACTTATAAGTACTGTATTTGTGCTAAAATATTGATAATAACAGTTTTTTTGACCTTTTTGATAGTTACATTTAGTTGTCTCATCATTTTCATTTTCTGTCAAAGTAATGATCGCTGAGGACAATCAAGTGAAACTTCAAAATTTATTCACTGAATGACGACGATATTTGTTGTGACGATAAGTTGAAAAAAGTAACAGTAAAGTGAACAAGGAAAAGTAGCTAGTAATAAAATTGATAATTCAAACAACTAACACATCCGTATAGTTTTCCATTTTGATTCATGCAAAGATATCGTTGTGATTCCTTTCCACGAATACTCACTAAGCCAATTGCCACCGAAATAAACTCTAATACATCTGAAAAAAAAAAAAAGTTAGTTGTTTGTAATCTGATTCTGAAATTGCTAAATCTGATCAGTGTTTGAACCTGAAGTGTCTCATACAATATTGTTGTAAAAAGAAGGTCCATCCTTATTTGTTGCACAAATCTGTGACGATAAATTACAAACTTAGTGGGTACTAAAAGAACTTAAAAGAAGATTATAAATCTAATTTTTTTTTTCAGCTTTTTTACTCCAAATGGTAATAAATCTTTCTGAAAACTTAAGTAAACCAAAACAAACGAACGTTGTTGAAATGTTTTGTGAAAAGAACAAAAAAAAAAAAAGACTGAAAAAAGGAATTACTTTATTGGTATACGTTGCAAAGTGGTAGTATATCTTTTTGCTCTTCTTTTTTTTTTTCTTCTTCTTTGTTACAAATTTTGCTTCAAAACACACTAACAGCTGAACGAAAACATATCAGATGAAAAGTAACAGCAGACAAAATTTTTGTACAACAAAGCTAAAACTCAAATGTTTCAGGGTTTGATCTAAGCTCTTTCAATCAGTTTTGTTTTTATCAGAACAGCTAAACAAGACAAAAAAAAAAGAAAAACTTTTTCTTCATTTTAAATACGCTTTATCATTTCTGTTACGCTTTTCTTCACTTCAAAATAGCGCAATTATCAGCACTCGTTTTCAATCGTTTGCCACAATTTTTTTTTTTTTCTGAAAGCTGAATTAAATTGGTGGAAACAATTGGTTTTTTTTTTTCTCAGTTTTTAAAATTTGAAGAAAAAATTAACTGGTCACAGCCATTCAAAGTAACTATTATAAAACTTATGTAGTGCAAAAAACAAGAGAAAAAAAAAGCCAATTCTAAAAACAGGTAAGGCACGCCATTACTTTTTCAGTGGTTCAAAAAAGTTGATTAGGTGATTTATGTAGGAGAAAATAAGTTTTTTTTTTTTTTTTTACTTAAATTATTAATTAGTTCAGTAATTTTGTAAACAAAACTGATTAAATCTTCAAATGAATAGTTATTATTTTTAAGCAGTGGATTTAATTTTTTTAAATAATTCAAAATAGCTGAAGTATATTTAGTGAAAAAAAAAAAACAAAAACTGTTTGTTATTAATGCTAATCAACAGTTTTTTTTTTGCTTATTTCACATTAAACAGTTTTCAGACGTGCTGATAGAGCTGTTAATATTTTTCAACATCTTTTTTGTTCAGAATCCTTTATCGTTTTTAAGCGCACTGTTTCACTGATTCAAGTTCATTGAATGCCAATTGGCCTTCTAACTCTTTTTTTCT